GCCCAAAACCGAGAAACAGATTCGAGGATTTATCGGCCGGTTGCAATACATAAGTAGGTTCATATCAAAATTGACGACAATATGTGAGCCAATCTTCAAAAAGCTCAAGAAGAATGTACCAGTGATATGGGATGACGAGTGACAAAAAGCCTCTAAAAAGATAAAAGCCTATCTCGCAAATCCTCCCATATTAGCACCAGCACTTCCCAGAATACCTCTTAGGTTATATTTGACGGTTACCAAAGAGACAATGGGAGCTATGCTAGCACAAGAAGTAGAAGGCAAAGAAAACGCAATCTACTATCTAAGCAAAAATATGCTCGAATACGAAACACGCTATACACCACTCGAGAAGTTGTGCCTCGCCGTGGTGTGGGCCACAACCAAATTAAGACATTACATGCTAGTGCATACCGTCTTTGTAGTCTCCCAATTAGATCCACTTAAGTATCTATTCGATAAATCTACACTCAATGGACGCATATCAAGAAGGATAGTCAATTTAGCCCAGTTTGATGTAAGGTTTATGCCGTAAAAAGCTATCAAAGGATCTGTGGTGTCATACTTTCTAGCATATTTTCCAATAGAAGACTCAACGCCAATACAAGACAATGAATTTCCAGATGAATACTTAATGGTTACAGAAGATGATACTTGGACCTTATACTTTGATGGAGCCTCAAACCAAAAGGGATCTGGTGTTGGAGTATTACTAGTTTCACCTAAAGAAGAGCATGTTCCTATCTCCATAAATCTTGATTTCGACGTTACCAACAATGCTGCTGAATATGAAGCATGCGTGGTAGGCCTTGAAACAGCTTTGGCATTGGGAATAAAAAGTTAAGGATATTCGGAGACTCTTCTTTGATTATCAATAAAATATCTTAAAGGTGGAAAATAAGGAGCGAAAGTCTAGCTCCTTACCAAACCTATCTGGAAACTCTTACCGATCAGTTAGAGAAGGTAGAATACACATATCTATCTAGGGAAGAAAATCAATTTGCTGATGCCTTGGCAAGACTAGCCTCAATGGTTAGGATTCACACGGAAATCGAGCAAATGCCTCTAACTATAGAGAAAAGGCACAAACCAGCATACATCCAGGCTATAGAAGACGACGAAGCAGTCCAAGACGAAGAAGAAGAAGAAGAAGAAGAAGAACCGTGGTACACAGATATACTCAATTATGTCACCAAAGGAGAATACCCTCCCCATGCTGACAAAAGAGAAAAACGAGCATTAAGGCTTTTGGCTTCCCAATATGTACTCATAGACAACGATCTACATAAAAGGGTACCTAAGGGTCGAGCTCTCTTATGTGTAGGACAAAAGGATACACAAAGAGCAATGAGGATAGTCCACGAAGGAATCTGTGGCACTCATATAAATGGCAAAATGTTACTTTAAAAGATAATGCAAGAAGGATATTATTGGATTACAATGAATAGGGATTTCTATCAATATGTAAAAATATGCCCTAAGTGCCAAATCTATGCCAATTTACAACATGTTCCTCCATCCTTGCTCTACACCTACACATCGACATGGCCATTCTCTACATGGGGAATTGACATCATCTGCAAAATCACTCCCCCAGGAACAGGAGGCCACGAATATATACTAGTAGCAATTGATTACTTCACAAAGTGGGTCGAAGCGCAATCATACGCTAAACTCACTGCAAAAACATGTAGCACTTTTTATCGAGAGAAATATTATTTGTCGATATGGAGTCCCACATGAAATGATAAGTGCCAATGGAACTCACTTTCAAGCCGAATGTGAAGAATTGTTACAAAAATATGGCATTCAACATCATCATTCTTCCCCTTACAGTCCTCAAACAAATGGAGTAGTCGAGGCAGCCAATAAAAATTTAAAGACTATCATCAAGAAAATGACGGAAAATTATAAGGATTGGCCTGCCAAACTTCACTTCGCATTCTGAGGTTACCGCACGTCAATCCGTACATCAACAGGAAATATGCCATTTTCTTTGGTTTATGGAATGGATGTCGTACAACCTGTCGAACTAGAAATCCCATCTCTATGCATCGCATTAGAGAGCAACCTTGATGAAGTTGAATGGAATAGGGCAAGATATGAAGAATTAATTCTACTCGACGAAAAGCAACTAGATGCTTTACATCACACTCAGTGTTATCAAACCCGTATGGCTAGGTATTTAAATAAGAAGGTGAAGACAAGAAACATCAAAGTAGGAGACTTGGTGTTAAAATCAGTAAGGAAAAATGTTTTAGATCCAAGGGGTAAATTTAGACCTAATTGGTCTGGACCCTACATTGTCAAAACAATCCTGTCAGGAGGTGCAGCAAAACTAACTGATATGGATGGCAATGAGTTCTCGAACATGACAAATCTTGACTAACTTAAGAAATACTACCCATAATTACTTAAGTAGGATGCTCAAGAGAGCTACGTTTGGACTGATTCCTTGAGAAAGGATACGTAGGAAACCCTTTATGGGTGTGGCCACTTTAGTTCTCAAAAAATCTCGCATCCCAGAATTAATTAAAAATTCGACAGTAATCGGGGAAATATTGGCGTCACGGAAAAGGTTCCAGCGCCAGCAGTTGAGCATTAGCGCCAGCCGACGACCATCAGCGCCAGTCGATGACACCGTCACATGACGCAAGACTTCCCTGGCCGGCGCCAGTCACAGATAAGCGGCACCAATTCACAACTAAATTCAGGGCATATTTTGGTGTTTTCGGAAAATTTTCGACTTTCGTACTCGAAGAATTTCTGGATAATTAATATTTTTCGGTTTTCATTGATTTAATAAATTAATTTAAAGTAAATAATTTAATTAAAAGCTGAAATTTCATTAATAAAATAAATTACATTATTGATTGAATTTTAACTAAAGCTGAAATAAATCAACTTTAAATAAAAAAACATAAACTGAGTCTAATGATTGGAAATTAAGAAATGCTCCTAAACTTTAGAGGACCTACATTCAATATTAGAGTAGATAGTTTCCCCTTTAGCTAGGACTCCATGCTTCTTTTCTACCCAAGCTTTTTTCTTTGTGGTGTCAGGTTTTCTTTTTCCCTTATCTTTTGTAGTACTTTTCTTCTTAGGCATTGCAGGTGTCTTGAATTCTACTCTTTCACCTAAGAATTCCTTGGTAGGAATCACCCTTTCACCTAGACGACTCTTCACATCAGTTTTACCCTGATTTTTCTTCGAATCCTTGGAAGGTTTCTTTAACAGCCACTTCTTTACATCATTGGGCAAGGAAGGAGGAACCTTTTGGGTAATTACTTCCCATAAAGGTCTACCACTCTAATAAGCATTAAATCTGTCTACTTCCTGGGAGACAGGGAACTCGTAGGGAGGACGAAGATCTCCGGAAGGAATATTCTGAAGTAAGCCGTATTGTCTTTTTACCCTGCAGGGATAGTAATAAGTCATACGGGACAAACTTGGAAGACGGCAGAAAGGTTGCATGTTAACACCAACCATCCTTTCTATTTTCCACCACAAGATGACCCACTTGATAGAAAAATTGCGAGATTCGAAGACCCTATTCCATTGGTGGCGCCCCATTTTAGAGAAGCTTTTCTTCCTCCTCACGAAGCAATTCGGAGTGTACTTCTCAATGTTGTCCGGAGGGCTAATTAATTCTAGCCTTTCTATTAGCCACATTTGTAAAAAATTGCAATGCAAATAAATTATTATTTCTAATATATTTTTTGATTTCTTTAATTAAAAATATTATTTTTCTACCTGTAATAAAATTGGAGAACCTCAGAAAGGTGCTTTTGGGTTCCTTTTTAATTCATCATGCCTAATCATAGTCTCTCCAACTATCAATGGCATTGGATTTCTCCCTGATTCAATTTGTTCTAGTACAGTGGTTATAATTGATTGACCCTCATTATTTTTACCACTACTAAGAAAAAATTGATTAAGCATACAAAATAAGAAAGCACTTCTTCTATAAATATGAAAAGATTCAGAGAGAGGTTTATCAAAATAATGGCGAGCAAATTCTTTAAAATTAACTATGTTTCCATCTACTATTTTTGATAGATCCCTTTCTTTTAAATTAAAGAAGCGTTCAAAATCCTTGTAATAATATAAATCTATTCTAAGGATTACTATGAGGTCTATTGTAGGGAAACCTAAAATAGCACCAAATTCTTCCGGCAAAGGGCTAATTTTATCATACCCTAATCTAAAGCAATGAGTATCAACATCCTAATATTCTAGAGCGGTATGAATAAAATCTAAGTCAAGATCTACCCCTTTGATACCATAAATTCCCCCAAGTGGAACAAATATAATTCTTTTCTTTCTTTGGCATTAAGAGACCGACACCATTCATGGATGTATGGGTAAAAGTTTTGGTGACTAAAGACATGATATTATTTTTCTAAGGCCAAGAATTATTTTTTTTGCTGAAATTATGAAAAGAATCGGCTGGGCAGGGGGCTATTTATGCACGAAGTCGGAGCAGTTCTAATCGATGTAGGATACGGAATCAGCGCTATTTGGCGTCGGATGCGGTTATTGGTGCCAGACGCCAAAGCTTGGCCCCAAGCGCTAAGTGTAGCGCCTGGCGCTACACCCAAATGCGTGGCGCCAGCTGGCGCCAATTTACCTCGTCATACGCGCTTTCTAAAACCGCGTTTTTACCTCAATTCAAGTCTGCTATTGGCTTTACGGCTTCCTTACCTTTTTCAAAATGTCTTTTTATTCTTTTTTTAAATTAATATAGCTATTAGGATAATTTGCAAATTACCACCCAAAAATAGTATCAATTTCTAAATAACCACCCAATTAAAATTTTATTTTAAATTACCACCCATTAAATTAAAAAAACGCTCAGATTACCACCCATTTTATTTTTCCGGTGGAATTTCCGTCAGTGGGCCCCACTTTTTTTTTTATTTTTTTCCTTTTTTTTCTTCTATTTTCTGGCTTTCTCACTCTCTCTCCCTGATTTTTCACTCTTCTTCTTCCTACCTTCTTTCTTTCTTCATGCTCAAATTAAACATAAGTTTTATTTTAGATTTTCACACATTTTTCACCCAATTAAAATTTTATTTTAAATTACCATTACTAGAAATTTAGATTTTCTCCTAAAATTACTTCCACTCAAAAACTTCATCTTCTTCGATAATTATTCATTCTGCAGAAAAAAAAAATTCAGCCATGGCATCTCTACTAGCAAACACCATCTCTCGTTTCTCTCTCCAACCCTCTTGCGACCCACCATCATCGACCTTAATTCATCAAAATCCCAATACCCTAAAACCCAGATTCCCAAATCTCACAAAAATCAGAGCTGAAATTGGGTACGATTCAAGCGCAACAAATACTACTGAACCAGGTAATAAATCTATTTCTCCTGCTTTAATTCCTAAAAATGAAGATGACCCACTTCAAAGATTCCTTAAAAGGGAGTATAAATGGGGTTTTAGTGAAAAAATTGATTCTTTTACGATTCCAAAAGGGTTATCTGAAGAAACAGTTAAGTTAATTTCTGCCCTAAAGGAAGAACCTGATTGGATGCTTGAGTTTCGATTGAGTTCATATCGTAAATTTTTGAAGATGGTTGAACCGAAATGGTCAGATAATCGATACCCACCAATTAATTTTCAGGATTTATGTTATTATTCTGCACCTAAGAAAAAACCCACTTTGAATAGCTTTGATAAATTGGGTGTGCCTTTGAATGAAAGGAATCGTTTAGCTAATGTTAGTGATAGAAATGTGGCTGTTGATGCTGTTCTTGATAGTGTTTCGATTGCGACTACACATAGGAAGACATTAGAGAAATCGGGGGTGATCTTTTGCTCGATTTCGGAGGCGATAAGGGAGTATCCTGATTTAGTTAAGAAGTATTTGGGGAGGGTTGTGCCTTGTGATGATAATTATGTTTAATTTGAGCATGAAGAAAGAAAGAAGGTAGGAAGAAGAAGAGTGAAAAATCGGGGAGAGAGAGTGAGAAAGCCAGAAAATAGAAGGAAAAAAAGGAAAAAAATAAAAAAAGTGGGGCCCACTGACGAAAATTCCACCGGAAAAACAAAATGGGTGGTAATCTGAGCGCTTTTTTAATTGAATGGGTGGTAATTTAAAATAAAATTTTAATAAGGTGGTTATTTAGAATTGATACTATTTTTGGGTGGTAATTTGCAAATTATCCTAGCTATTATAATAATTATATTCTTCTTTTTTGGATTTTATTTAGGTTAATTTCCAAGTTTTTATAAACCCAAGTTTTTATTTGACTTTTCCTTTTTTCATTTTTTTCTTTTTGGGAAGAAAGTCGGATACCCTCCATCAATAATAAAAATGACAGAATTTTTGCGCAAATTATTTGTCACACTTTCTTGCACACACAAACATGCACATAGTGATAATAGTAAAAAATGAAAAAAAACATGATAAATAAAATAAACTAATAATAGTATGTATATACAAAATATGTCTAAAAAATGAGTCTAACTAAAAGGCAAAGTTCTATACAAAGTTAAATAAATAATAAAAAGCACAGGTACAAACTACGGTGCTGGGGGAGGTAAACCCATCATCGCAAAAAAATCCGCCGTACGAGGACTAACTTCTCCACCTACTCCAGCTCCAGCACTAGTGTCAGCTCCAGTCTCCGCGGGAGGAGGAAAGCTCAACGTGGGACCAGCCCACCCGAGATCAACCTAAGGCTAAGGCTGCGGAGGCTGCTGCGATGACGAGCCAACCTCGTACATCCCACCACCTCTAAGAGACGAGGTAGCCTCTCCCTGATCTACCGGCACATCATGAGCACCTTAAGAGAAAGAACCCGAGCCCTCTGCCACATCAGCACGGGCTGCCTCAGAGCGACCGCCTCTACCTCGTGAAGTAGTGCGGCGACGCCTCGAGGTAGACCTCGTCAGATCCCTCCGCATCTCAGGTCTCGTGCGGGTACGAGAAGCAATAGGCTGACCTTACAAAAAGAATAAAAATCAGAAACAAGGCAAAATCGAAGCGGTAGTGCAAAGACATATGAAAGAATGACTAAGTCCTGAACGGCGTCGTCCCGACGGTAGGTAGCCACGTTCCTCATCCGGAAAAGCTGGCTCTGGAAGGCATCTATACATCGTGCCATCGCCGAAACCACCTTGCGCGAGAATTGTCAAAGAAATAAGTCAGTAAACATGCATAATATATATGGACGGAAGTTGCAAATAAATAAGCTTACCCGAGACTGGTGGCGAGGAATCGACCGCTCTACGAAGCGCTCGTCCTAAGGAGCCGGAGGAATGATCTCCTCAATCGGCCTGTATGTCCCCTGGTAATGGATAGACATATGGGGTGGCACGAACTCAGCAGCATCGTCCTAATAAAGCAAAAACCAAGTCAACGAAGCATTACTTGGGGGCTACTTCACGAAAGATAAGAGCTGAAAAATCATACCGCCACATCTTCAGCCGGTACAGGAACTGGAGCTAACAACGGCAGTAGCTCCTCCGCATGGCATCGCCCAGGGATCGTGCAAGATCGCCAAGGGGTACCAGCTCCCTCTAACATGCTCAACAACCTCGCGGCGTCAAACATGTGACGTGGTGGAGGAGCAGGAACGACAAAAATATCGGAGGAATGCTGTCTAGCAACCCTCTCTCCAAGGTATGCGATCGGTACATAAGTCCCCGGGAAATAGCAACGCTCAGCGGAATACAGCGCGGCTAACCCAGGGACCGCAAAGTCATCCCACGGCTGGTACAGCACCTCAGGCTCCTGCAAAGAACGTCAACCATGCGAGAATCTATCTAAAACATCACAAAATGGAAAATAAGAAAAGAATCATACCGCGATGATCCAATTTCGGACATACGTAGTGGACATCCCCACACGGCAGCTGCCCCAAGAAGCACTCACTAGAAACCTGCGTGGCGACGGTCTCGCCGGTGCAGCAGAAGGGAAGTACTCGTAGAACCAGATCTACAAGGAGTTAAAATTATCAGCAAGTGCTAACTAAAATGTAGAGCTAAACTTTATAGGGAATAATGTTTACCTATACGACCCTCCAAAAGCTGAACAGAGAAAAATTAGTCCCAAAGGACTAGTGTCGACACGAGTCCCTCATCGCTCGAATGAAATCAGCATTGGCCAAGCTGGCCCAATCGTAAGTCCTGATCCGATGTAGATCGCGGACGGTAGGAAGGTAGTGAAGCAGCGCCCTACTACCCTTGTCAGGAGACAACGTCCCTAAAAAAAATAAGCGCAAAGATGCGCACCTGCTGCTCTCGGGTGGTCGCATCATCATCAAAAGCCGCTGCCAGAGTCGAGCGGCGAATCCCCCTAGCACTGAACTTAAACGACTCTACCTTAGCTCGAGCCCGAATAGTAATCGGCCCCAATAGCTCCTCGACCTCAGGGGAAAAGACGTAAATCCCGCTCTCGAGCGGCAGTGGCATGGAGCTAAACTCCAGTCCTCTAATGAGACTGAAGTCGGTAGGAGTGACCATCATCTCACCCCAGGGAAAGTGGAAAGTGTTGGTGGTTTCCCAGAAGAACTCTACCAAAGCACGCACTACATGGTGACCCCTACTGGAGGCAACCATTTCCTCGGAGGTCTCAAACAACGCAGCAAGACCGCAAGACTCCCATAAGAGTCTCGTCTCAACATCTCTGGCGATGTACATCTTGTATAGATCGCCTAAACCGTCATAACCGAAGCGCGTCGTCCCAACGGTGATGCCCCGTCTCACCCTCTCAAAAACATGGTGGACGGGAGAAAAGAATAAGGTCCGCTCATCCCACTCGAGGAGTCGACCAAACAAAGTGGACGGTGCGGCGTCGTCCTCAACGGGCTCATGCTCCCGTCGAGCGTCTCGGGACTGTGAACCAGAGCCTCGTTGTCTAGCCATGCTACGTTGTGCAGAATTATCTTAAATTAAGGTTCTATAGTATCTATGGTTTGCCTAGCCGCATGATACTATGTTCGCAAAAAATAGAGTATGTAGTACTAAAATAGAGCACAAATTCAAATTGAGCATAACGACATTTTTCAAATAATCAAACAATTTCTTGCAATACTATAGTAATTATTGTGACAAATTGGACAAGAATCGCTAGTAAAAACATCAAGAACGGGCCACATTGTATTCTCGACCTCAAGAGGTCCAACAATTGCAATTCGTTCATTTCTTCACCAAATTGAGTCAAACAAGTCTAAAATTACTCCCAAGGCAATATATAAACATAATCAAGCAATTTAATGGCATAAAATTTGACAAATAAAGAGAATTAAGCATTCTATGTTTTGAAATTTCATGAAATTCGAATATAAACATGTGCAAAATTCATAAAAACCGGTGTGAGTTCAAAGAAAACTTACATAGATCGGGAAAATGGATGAAAAGAGCTTTGATTTGCAATAAATTTGAGCAAATTTGGTTGAGAAACGAGCAAGAACGAAGCAAATGAAATTCTGAAGATTTTCGAGCAACTTCCGCGACAAGCAACAAAGAAAATGAAGAAGAAAGGGGTATTTAAGGAATATCCCGTTCTGGCACCAAGCGCTAGACCTTGGCGTCAAAAATTAGGCTTGGCGCCTGACGCCAATCCCAGCGCCTGGCGCTAAGGCCATTTCTCACCAGGACCCTCAGCCACTCAGGGAGGTTGTTCTACCTTTTTGCAATATATTTTGGGTTCCTTGGTATGCCTGTTAGCCCCTCTAAGCAATTTGACACGATTTTTTGTAATCGGCTTGATTACACAAAGTGATCTACCTGACGAAAGATCATCTCACTTAGCTTAAAGCGCCTAAGCAGTGGCTCATTAACAGAAGGCACAAACATAGTGGTTCATTTGGAAAAGGCATTGACGTACAGGTTCAAGAGCAACAAAAGCGTCGACATACAGGCATAGCGGAAGCAAAGTTGAAGCGAGCTTTAAAGGATCGACATGCGGAGATCTTCGGTAATTTCTTTGGAAAATTATCGCAACAAATGAGGATGGCTTCAAGCGAGGATATCTTCGACGTCATTCCCTAGATTGTGGAGAGTTGTCACAAACAACTGAAGGTGATTTCAAGCGAAATTGTCTTCGATAGTATTCCCTTGGAAGTGGAATATTATCAATGTGGAAGGGGATTGTTTCAGGCAAAGCAATCTTCGATAGTATTCCCTTGGACGTAGAAAATTATCAATGCCGAACGTTCTGAATAGTTCTTCATCCCTATCGATACTTTGACTTTTGTTTTCGAAACATGTGTTTCTGCAAACTCAGTCAAAGTGGGGGCATCTGTAGACACCCATTTGTGTCTCCCCAAAACCAAACCCGGTGATGAGTACCTTTCGCATCGAATCATAATCGAATGAAGTGAAAATGTTGAAAGTCTAGTGTTGCGGATAGTTTTAATTTCTTTTCTCTTCTCTCTGTTTTTGAAAACTTATTTTAAGAAAATATCCAATCCAGTTTGGTTGGTCCATGATATGGGTCCGATAATAGTGTAGTTGGATGGGGCTTGACAAGAGCTTTCCAACGATATATTATAAGCCCAATTCCGATGAATATTAAGGAAGTCATGGCCAATTTACTAAACTAGGCCCGGTTTGAGCCTTATATGCGGCCCAATGATCTAGGGGAGGGCCTAATATAGATTTATCATTCCTAATGCAATTAGGAATGGTTTTAGTCTTCTAGATTCTTCTAGAAGGTTCTTTTCATTCCTAATTCAATTAGGATTGATAAATTGACTTTAGTTGACTTTTCAGAGTTTTAATTAAAATCAAAGAGAAGATTTGAAGAAAGTACGATTTTATCCTCCTGTATGGCAATTTTTATCTAATTTTAAGAAAACGCGTAAATTTTCTGAATCAGCGCCAAACGCCAGCTGTATCGCCTGGCGCTGCGTCTAGCGCCAATAGCCAGCGTTGGCGCTAATCAGGTTTTATCTGCGCCAGAACTCTGTTTTGATATTTTATCTTTTTGGCTGATTTTCTTTATAAATAACGTCGTAAAAACTCCGTTTCAATTCACCAACTCTCGTCAAGGTTCTCTTGATTACTCTCTCTCTCTCTCTCTCTCTCTCTCTTTTCTAAACTAGCTTCTCTCAAATAAAAAATTCTGTATTCATTAGATCTAGATACACCTAGCCATATTCGAAGTTGCCTTCGCCCTAGACGTGAAAGGTTTAATTTCTGAGGGTTTGGTCCCAAATCTCTCTTTCTATTATTTAATTTAATTGTTTTAATTATTATTTTCCTTGAAGTTACTAACGTGTGTATTTTTTTATTAGAAAGAGGTACGAGGCATCAAAGTAAGTGCTTTAATGGTTTTTATTGATGTTATGATGTAGAAATCATGTTTAGTTGTTATTATGATTCCTAGTATTATGTCTAGGGTAATTTTAATATTAAATATGATTGTTACGATGCCTTTTATGTTCTTCCTAATAGTTATGATTGTTAGTACCATGTTAGGGTTAAATATTTGATTTTTATTGTTTAGTGACATGCTAGGTTTTGTTATTAATCTTGTTAGTATCATGCCTAGGATCTTGCTAGTATTATGCTTTAACGTTGATATGATTATTTTAATTATGATTCATGATCATGATTTTTATGATTTTTATTATGATTATTATTATGATTATAATTGTTATTGTTATAATAATTATTATTATGATTATATATTGTGTTGCTTGATATTTATTTTTATTGCTTGATCACACCTTTTATGCATGTTTAAAGGGAATTTGTACTTGTAATCACGCTTAATAAGATAATTAATAATCTTGTTTAGGGTTAATTTGATTATAATTCAAGTGATCGCCAATAATAGTTTATTTGTGCATTAAATTCAACCAACATAGATAAACAGGTTTAGGGTCAAACCTATTGATTGCATGTTAGTCAGAAAGCGCACATGAATACGATCAGAATAAAGTAGAGGCCTATTATTAGGGCAGGTTCAATCTCTTTTAGGTTGGATTTTTACCTTCATCCCCGAACCTTATTTGGTTCAAGACCTTATGGAGTTGACGATCTCTTGGATCATTAAGGGGTGTAATCTTCACCCTATGAACGGTTTACAAGTTCCTAAACAAATTTATTGGTGACTCTTTTGCTCTATCTTCTTCCCTTTTGGACGCCACCGTACTTTAGTGTATGATCACAGTGGGGTTCAAGCTAGGGGATTAGCGCTTGAAATATTCCCTACAGATAATTAAGATCTTTAGATACTTATAGAAGTTTCTAATTAATCCTAATTTTTTTAGAAATGGGATTAAATAATTTGGACCCTCCACATGATCATTCGGTTGTAGGTAAGGTGGGCTTAGGTTCGGTTTGGGCTCGGCTTAATATTTTAGCCATAACTTATTCATTATAAATTGAATTTGGGCTAATAATATATCGTTGGAAAGCTCTTTTCAAACCCATCCAATTATTCAATCATCGAACCTAGGCCAGATAATGGACCAAAATAAACTTGACTAAACGTTTTTATAAAAAGGACACAAAATGAATGATTTTAAAGGACACGAAATGAATTATTTTGGGTTTAAAGGCACGAAAAGAGGAAAATAAGTTATGGGTTAGGTAAATGGGATAGGAGTAGGGTTGGATCTATGAAATGGAAATATGGATTTAAGCACTCCAAGATTAAGTACTCAACCCGACCAATAACGGTGGTGAAATGTTGTTCATCATCGGGTTTGGTTTGGGGAGACATTTTTAGGTGTCTACAGTCCTCCAATGGATGCCTACTAGATAAAGTCTTGGATGATGAAGAAGACACAGAAAAGAATTGGAAAAGAACAAAGAAAGAGAAGAAATATTGAAGCGTTGCTTAACTTTCAATTTATTAGACTAGCTTAATTTTTAAGTCAATTTATTTTATTAAGCATTAATTTAAATTCCATCAGTAATGTAATTTTTATTTATTAATACAATTTCAACTTTTTAATTAAATCAATTTTTACATTTAATTTATTAAAGCAATGAAAAAACTTAAATTATTTTCCGGGAAATTTCTAGAGTACGGAAGTCGAAAATTTTCCGAAATACACCGAAATTTGACCAAATGTTCGCTGAAAATCGGCGTCGCGATTAAAAGTCTGTCGCCAGACGTTGCTTTTTGTCGCTAGGCTACAGGATTTGTCGCCTTGCACTGCAGTCTAACGTCCGGCGACATACTTTTTTCTATTGCGCTGACGCTGCGTCGAATTTTTATTTATGCTGGGATGCGAGATTTGCAAAATTAAAGTGGCTGCACCCTGTAAAGGGTTGACTACGTATCCTTTCCTAAAGAATCAGGCCAAACATAGTTCTCTTAAGTGTCCTACTAAAGTAATTATGGGTAGTACATTTTAAGTTGGTCAAGAATTGAAGAGACGACCTTAAGGTCATTAAGCCAAGGGCGTCCCAACAACAAGTTAAAAGAAGCTTTAATATCCACTACTTGGAAGGTAGTGGCATGTTCTATTGCTCCCGCCGTTGCATTCATGGTAATCTTTCCAAGATCTTGGCGACGAGTATTGTCGTAGGCTCTTATTCCATGTGTTGACGGGGTTAAATCTTCATCCCTTATTCCTAACATCCTCGCAGTTCTAAGTGGACAAACATTGACTGCCGATCCATTATCTACAAGAGTCATTGGGACATTCATTCTCTGGGTGACTACTGTGAGGTTTAGAGCCTTGTAGTACTTCTTACCTTCCGGAGGTAAATCCTTGTCAGAAAAGGTGATCAGGTTGATGGGACTAGGGAGATCACTCGTGAGAAATGTAGCCAACCCCTCAAGAGTGGTTTCAGTGTCTATCCCTATTTTGTCCAAGGCGTTCATTACTGTGAACCTATGTTCTCGGGATGTGGCTAGAAGTTTCCATACATTCATCTCGACCTTGGTCTTCTTAAATTGCTTGACAACATTGTTGTCTTCTATAATCGGTATGGGAACTTGTTGCATGGCAGGATTAGGTTGTGTGGTGATGGGAGGTTGCATTCTCCCAGATCTTGTGAGGACGTTTATAGGTGAATCTTCTTCATCTTAAAAATCACTTACTAGATATATAACTGAAAGTGGAGGTTCCTCCATATCCTTAAGATAGACGTCTTCATCATCGCTGTCCCAAACCCCATTGATGGTAATATCTTGTTCTCTTGGAATTTGGACTAGCTTCTTTTTATCAATCAGCTTTTTAATTAAATCTTTAAATTTAAAACAATTCTCGGTTCGAGAGGTTCAATCTTACCACTCTCGGAGAGCATTTAGAGCATTTTGAACATGTTATCATAGATGTCCCAATTGGAGTGTAAGCTTTGTTACTCCTCTTGGGCGTATCAATTACTTGGGGAGAAAATAGTTACCTCTCCATAGGTGGAACTTTGACGTGTTTATTTTGAACCACCTTTTCTTGTTTCTTTGCAAATTCAATACCTTCACGTAACAAGTTTATTCCCTCCCACATTGATCGTATGAAAATCCATACTTCTTCCCTCGTTGCAGGTTCTTTTCTGGGAGGGAAATCACTCATGGCAGTGAAAAAGGTTTCCTCCTCTTCTTCGATAGCATGAATTTCTTCAACTGGTTTGATGAGGGATGAAGGATCAACATGGTCTTCCTCATCAAAGATAGCCAAAGAATCAGAAAGTGGCGCATTATTGAGACTTGGCTTCTTGCTTGTAGGGGGCAATGGAAGCTTATTGCTCTCAATTAAATCTTTTATGGCTTCCTTAAGCTTCCAACAATTTTCAGTGAGATGGCCCCTGCCTTGATGATACTTGCAATGTGCGTTGGGATTCCAGTTAGCCGTCCTTTTTTCAACAGGTGGATCCCCGAATGGTCCATTGGAGTTATAAGACCTTTTTCATGTAATCGATTGAATACGTTGTCGTAACTCATACCAATAGCAGTAAAGTTCCTCCTAAATGGTTTCTTTTATCCCTGGTTATTCATAGCAAGGACTTCACTCAAATTAAAGGTGCTAACATTATTTGAGTGGGTGGTTTTGGAAGAAGAAGGATTGTCGTTCTTCTTACCTTTCCATCCACTATTGGAGTTATTATTATTAGCATTTTTTTGTTTAGCAAGGTCATCTTCAATGTTAATTCCAATATCATAGAGGACCTTAAAGGTATGCAAGTTGTTTTGGAACTTAAGATGCTTAGAGTACTTTTCTTGGAGGTTCTTAATGAACATTTTCATAGATTCTTTTTCACTTGGTAATTCAATCATCCTAGCAGAAGTTTCTCTCCATTTATTAAAGAAAGAAATGAAGCCTTCATTCTCTTTTTGCTTAAGCATTTCAAGTTCTCTATGATCAGTTTCAACTTGAATATTACATTTATATCTATTAATGAAAGCATTTACAATAGAATCCCAAGTAGAGTTTTTCTCTTTGTCAAGGGAAAAGAACCGTTGTTGACAAACGGTTTCAAGAGATAAAGAAAATAAAGAATGAAAGACCTTCCTATCAATCCCTTTAATATTCATTATAGTCTCAAAGGCTTTTAAATGGAAATAATGGTTGCCTATAGCCATGAATTTTGGGATGTCGTTGGCATTGAACATCTGCAGAAAAAGCTCCTTGTCCACCGAGACCCCTTGCGAACTAATGCCCTGGAACCTGTAGTCATTAGATATTTTGCTCAAGCTCTCTTGCATAAACTCCATTTATTGTTGCTTCACAGGGTCATTGTTTTGGATGGTTAAAGTGCTTAGCACGTCAGTAACGCTAGCCATTTGCTTCTTAAGCTCATTTACTTCTTCTTGACTCGCCATTATCTTCTTAGCTTTTCTTTTCTGATTGACTGGTTTATAAAAAAGTTGTACTTGAACGAAAAGGTTGTCCTTGATTAAACGCCCTTCCTTTCTTGACCACGTGCTGTAAATTAAACTATTTTATTTGTTTAAATGACTTGACTCAAATTAACTTTGACTTTACAGGTTTATAAAGAAAAAGAAAAAAGCAAAAATAGGCGAAAATAGGGGCATATTTTTGGGAATCAAGTATATGGGTTCAAACAAGTGTTTTTTTAATTGGAGGATTAATATCCGACTTACCCACCTAAAAACATGACAGAATACACGCGCCTACAAAGACTCTCTAGACATGGTCAAAGTTTACATTCATTTTAGTGTGTGCTTTATTTGTGAGTGCAAGAGACATGCTTTAACTCTTGTGTATGACCATGGGACTAAGTGTTTAGACTCAATTAAGGACTAAATATGGTTACTGCCAAGAATAAAATAACAAAATTGATTGATAAACTGTTTAAATAGACTCGTCGTGATGACTCGAGGAAAATACTAAACTGTCGCCAAAGCAACAGGATTGTCGCCGCATACTGCAATACAACGCCAGACGACAGATTGTCCCACGACGTTTCACAGCAGCGTTCGGCGCTGCAGCCCATATTTTTGCGCCATTACTGGAACATTAATTTGGGACTGCGTTCAGTATTTCTACTCTACGGGGACAGGCCTAAAGTTGTACTAAGTTAGTTTTGATTAACTTATTAAACTTTAATTACTGAAATTAATTAATTAATTAATTAGGCAAAGTACTTTTAGTCATTAATTAGTTATTTAGGCTTAAACACAAGTCAAACAAATGGTTAGGAAAAACACATAGAGTATGCACAACAAATAATGCACAAGTAGTCAAGTAGGCACAATATGATGCAATGAGTTTGCAACTTAACCATGGCTCTAGTTCTCTAAAGTTTAGGATATGTGTTAGTCAAAGAGGGTCCATGGTTATGATTCCAGATACACCGCGCGGAAGCCTTACCTTTGGAAGGGTTGGCGCGTGTGGATGGGACCCCGCGAGTTAAACTCGCTTCCATGGTTTGGTGAATTCAACATTCTCAGATGTACCTTTTTTTGCTCAGAGCGTTCAATCAGGTAGATGGAGCATTAATTCCTAGAGGGTTATGTCCATATGTAGAAAACATATGGGTTTCAAAAAAGAGAGAAAAACTCAATCAGGAAGTAGAATCGAACCAACAATGCTAGAACTAGTCAAAATAAGAAGGAAGGTTTGTGGCTCGATATTAGAAGAACACGGCGCCAGACAACACAGTTCGTCACTAGAATATAAGCCCTGTCGCTAGACGACAATGTTGTCGACAAGTGACATAGCCATATCATTGGCGACAGGCTCTGTTTTCTAGACGCTAGTTCCTACAAGCCTCAGCAGTTTTCTGTGTTCTTAGAATTTTCCAATTTTTGAAGTGTTATTTTGATTCTAGTTGTGAAAGATATTTCTCAAATTTCCTACGTGTAAAAATCCTATGTTTTTTACTCATTACATATGGTATTTTCAATGAGAAATTTTTTTATGCATATGGAAATAATGTTAATCAAAATTACGCACATGAAATACTTAGAACTTTTCGAGTCTCATCCACTCATTCTAAATCATTGCCGAAATAAATTTCCCGAATTGCAATTGAAATCCTCCCCACTGGAGTCGCCAAAAACTATAGGGAATATTTCAAACTTGAACCCCACTGTGATCATATACTTAAGCTTGGTCGCGTCCAAAGGGAAGGAAGGTAGAGCAAAAGAGTCGCCAACAAGTTTTAGGAACTTGTAAACTGTTCACATGGTAAAGGTTACACCCCTTAACGATCCAAGAGATCGTTAACTCCAATAGGTCTGGAATCAAGACTGGAAGTTCGGGGATGAAGGTACAAATCTAACCTAAAAGAGATTAAACTTGCCCTATTAATAGGCCTCTACTTTATTCTTCTCGTATTCATGCGCGCTTTTTGACTAACATGCAATCAATAGATTAACCCTAAACCAGTTTAATCTATGTTGGTTTAATATTAATGCACAAATAAATCTATTATTGGCGATCACTTGAATTATAATAAAATTAACCCAAAACAAGATTATTAATTATCTTATTAAGCGTGATTACAAGTACAAATTCCCTTTAAACATGCATAAAAGGTGTCATCAAGCAATAAAAAATCAAGCAACATAATAATAATCATCATAATAAAAATATCACCGAGATAATAATAATCAAATTAATTTTGTTAAAGCATATAATAGCAAGATCCTAGGCATGATACTAACAAGATTATTAATAGCAAACCCTAGCATGTCACTAAACATATATAAAAATCAAAGCTTTAACCCTAACATAATACTAACATGCTATTAGGAAAGACAATAGGAAGCATCATAGAAATCATAATTGACATAATTAAGAAACTTATTCTTACCCTAAACATCATACTAAGAAAAGCATCCTAACATGATACTAGGAATCATAATAACAAACTAAACATGATTTCTATATCATAACATCAATAAAGTTATTAGCGCACTTACTTGGATGCCTCGTACCTCTTTCTAATAACAAAATACACACGTTAGTAACTTCAAAAAAAATAAAATATCAAAATAATTAAATTAAATAATTGAAATAGAGATTTGGGACCAAACCCTTAGAAATACCAAACCTTTCACGTCTAGGGCGAAGGCAACTTCGAATTTGGCTAGGTGTGTCTAGATCTTTTGAATGCTGAATTTTGTTTAAAAAGGATTGGTTTAGAAAGAGAGAGAGAATCAAGAAATTCTTGATGAGATTTGATGATTAAAACCGGAGGTCTAAGGACGCTACTTATACTGAAATAGTCCGGAATTGATAAAAAGAATCAGAGTTCGAAAAGGAATAAAACACGCCTCTGTCGCCAACAACAGGATCTGTCGCCAGGCGAAAACCTGTCGTTTGACGATGTAGAAGGTTTTTCCACGCATTTTCTACTTTTTCATAAAATCAAGTCTTAAAAGTTCGTTTGAAGGGTAAAATAGTAATTTCACATAAAACACTTCTTTTACACTAAATAAAACTCATAAAACATAATTATCAATCCTAATCCCATTAGGATTCAAAGAACCTTCTAGAAGATTCTAGAAGACTATAATCAATCCTAAATTCATTAGGAATGATAATTCATAATAGCCCTTCTCTAGATCATTGGGCCGCATATAAGAACCAAACCGGACCCTGTTTAGTAATTTTGCTATAACTTCCTCACTATTCATCGGAATTGGGCTTATAATATATCTTGGAAAGCTCTTTTCGAGCCCTATCCAAATATACTATTATTGGACCCTTGTTATGGATCAAACTAAACTGAATTGTCTATTTTCATAAAATAGAGCAAGTTTTCGAAAACAGAAAGAGAGATTTTAATAAAAACTAACCGCAACATTAGACTTTCCACACTTTCACTTCATTCGATTATGATTCGACGAGAAAGGTATTCATCACTGGGTTTGGTTTTGGGGAGACACAAATGGGTGTCTACAGTATGTATTTGTTTTTATATTTTTTTCATATACGTTTGTTTGTTAACTGTCCTTGTATTTTGAAAAGGCACCGCGAGAGACCGTGAACGGCATGGTGAGGACAATAGTGCTTTCCGAGCTTCTTATCGGAGAGCCCTCATGGCTTTATCATGTCATAATCTTTGGATGGTCGCGGTAAATTTATTTCTTTTTCTTTTACCAAAGTTATTACATTGTTTTGTGTATTAATCTTTGTTTAGATTTTGCAGAATGTACAACAGCTGTCTGGGAGTCGTCGAGCATCCTGACTTCCTTTGTAGTTATATTCTTTTTTTTGGAAACATATGTACATATCTCTTTGTATATATATTTTTTGTACATATGACACACATTTTATATGTCATTATTTTTCTTTTGTTTCCATGGTTTTTTTTTAAGTAAAGCGAAAATTTTCACAAGGGAGGGAAAGGGTTCCCGACTTACCCCCCTCGAAAAAATAACAAAAAGGAACAAATAAAAGAGGACATGAAAAGGAAAGTGAAAATCGAAGGGAAAATGAAAAAAGAAAGAAAGAGAAAATGAAAATAAGAAGAAAATAAGAAAATAAAATAAAAATAAAATAAAATAAAATACAGCATAAAAAAAACATAAGAGTTAACAAAATGTAAGAGTATAATTATTCATAAGATTTTGTCAATATTTCGTTATTATGGAGTTAAAAATACGGAAATAAATCAAAATGACATATCGTGACAGACTAGATGCGCGCAACTACATGTCTTGCGCGTGGCTGTCGCGCTCATGTGAATCGGTTGCGCAGGCCACCTGCGGGTGAACTTTCCTTAGAACGAAAATTGTCGAAAATTTGCCCCTCTTGGGTCTATTCAAGCCTGGTTTTGTGTAGGCTTTTGATCATCTCGTATTCATTTTCTGAGCAGTGTTATAAAAGAATAAAAAAGAATTAATCTCTCTAAATTCTTTCCCTTTCCCCCTTCCTTTTATTACACATTGATCATTGGAAAAAAAACCTTGAACATTGATTGAAGCAATTGGTCACTTCCCTTTCAACTGAGGATAAACTATCCTTCAAAATATACCACCTTGACCCTCTATTGAATTATTTGCAACTAGTTATAAACTTTGATTTTCTCCATGCTGCTGTCAATCATTGAGACTCGAACCACCATCTCTTTCTTTTTAAAGGGTATGAAATTGTCCCATTACCCAGAGAGTTTGAGGCTCTACTAGGCTTCCCTAAAAGTACTTTCCCTTTGACATATGCCCCTAACTTGTCGGATCCCAAACCTATTTTTCAAGATTTTTTGGTTTGAGTGACAATGATATCGTTGACATTGGAAAAGAAGAAAGCGTGGATTTAGTTCAATTTATTGAACATTTCGTCGCCCCTTATGACAACATGACTAAACAACGCTTTAAAATTCGTGCTTTATGTTATTGTCTTGTTGTCAATTGTTTACTTATGACAGGTAAAGAATGGTTTCTATTCTTAAATCGCCATAGAGGAGACCCTAACGAGAATGGTTTCATGGGAAGTCCACTTTTTTTCGTCGTAAAGTAGCACAAGTTGGGAAGTTGTGCTGGCCTGTCCAGCTCAATCGTCTCCGATGCGCACGGAAGGCCCGATCAACTGATTTTGAAGCGCGGGCCACCTACTCGTGTAATTTCGCAAATTAATTTTCCTTGTTTTTTTCAAATTTGGCTCATGCAACGCTTGCGAAATCATTGAACAGCTAGAATGTTTTGAGGATCATAGGGTGAGCACATTCCCTAGACGTCGAATTCTCTACAAACACAAGAATGAAAAAGAATGGACGTTGTTTTTCTTTCATGGGGTTCCAAACATACGCTTTGTGATTCATTGGTGGAACATAAGTAGTATGGTTTGGAATAGTTTTAATTGACCCTATATTAGGCTTTTAGGCCTATCTAGTACTACTTACATTTATCCTTATAGGGTGATGAGACAATACATAATGAAATAAGTTATCCCCCACTCAAGATTGTGATGCCCCTAAAGATGTGATTTTTAAACCTGAACGGATTCCTCGTTGGATGCAATATTGGTCAAGTATCCCTAGCTGGGTAGTACAAAGTCCTAATGCGAGTATTGTGTTATCCTCCTTCTACAAGGCTAGGATGAATGCGGTGGACAAGGGTGAGCTAAACAAGGCTCGATCACAAAATCAAGCCGCCTCAGCTCGCAATCCACCCAAACCTTTCATGCATTCGGCCACCACTACTCCTCCTAATGGCTTAAACAAAGGAGTGAGAAGAAAATTAGACTTCTCATCACCTAAGGCTCCTCCTAAACATGCGCAACAAGGGGTGAAGATTAAAGAACCTTCACCAAATACTTGCAAGAAGACCCCAACAATTGTTAAAGGAAAAGGAAAACAGGTTGCAAAGGCCCTAATCCCTAAATTGAAGAACATGACAAGGGTTGGAACTAGGTCGTCATCTAATTATCCCTTGGTGAAACTAAATTTGTAAACGCTTAACAAACCTTGTACGAGTATAGAGGCAAGCTAAGGGCCGAACCCAAAGGAATGAATCGAAACTATGCTATAGTCTAATGTTAAGCTAAATTGAAACATTATCAATGGTTGAGTTTTGTAACTAAGGTAACAAGAATCAAGACAATTCAAAGAAATCAATCAAATTGCTAAACACTAGGGATATAGGTTCCACATGCTAGCTCAACAATCATGCTAATTGATATATCACCCAATTGATTCAAACATCGCAAGAGAAAAACATTAGTTGCAATCAAAGGAATTCAAAGGTTATCTCCAATAAAAAAAACTAGGGTTCACCATGAATGGCTAACAAGGAGAATCACAATCAAATTTAATCAATTAAAGAATTTTCTCAAATTAATTGTTTGTGTCATTGAAATTTGCAATGCAATCTAGATTAATCTTATAGGGTGATCACTCCTAGTCTATTAATCACATGCACAACTATGTCAACCAATTTAATTTCCACAATCAATCAATCAAGGATCATCAACTAGCAAAAATCATCAATTAAGCATGCTTTCCCTTCTCCCTAGCAACTAATCTACTCACTAATCATGGTGAAATCTAAAGCCCAAACAAATTCAATCACAAACAAATTCATTTCAAGATAAATCAAAAGGAAATACAACCAATCAATAAATTCTCAAAACTAAATCAAAATCCAAACCAAACATTCAAGCATAAAAGTAAATTGTAATTGAAGTAAATCCAAAGGAAAGAAATCTCACAAACTTTGATTGATATTAAGAAGAATTCCAAACTTGATTGAAGAAGCAATGTTGAATTACAGATCAAATCCAAGGATTACAATCTCTACTTTCTCCTAACTTCTCTCTAGTTTCTCTCTCTAAAAAATAAGCAAATGAAGTATTATCTAAAAGTTGCCCTTCAAAAGGATTTACAAGAGTATTTATAAACAAAGAAGAAAAACTGATCGGTCGCGCCCTCTCCAAGAAAACCCCTGCGAGCGCGCAGAAATGGGTACAAAACCCATAACTAACTCCGCGGGCAATCTGGGCAAAAACCGCGCGCGTGGGTACTGTAGTTCGCGCCCGCGACAATGCCACCTGCGCCCTAGGCTAAGGGCGCGGCAGATGCCCTATTCCAAATGAAGTAGGGGGGTCGCGGTCTCTCTTTGTGGTGGCTGTGAGTTTTGAGTTAGTGGGAATGCGTGGCTGGTGATGATTAAGGGCAGCAGGGGTTGTTGTGTTGGTTGCAGTGGGATAGAGGTGAAATACGACTGGGATTGCACGGTGGTTGATGTTGCGGCTGTACGTGCGGAGATTGTTGGTGGCTGGTTGAAACAAGGGAGTTACGTGGGCTGGTTTGCGTGGTTTCCTATCATTGTTGGGTTGTTGTGGCTGGTGGTGTGTGGTGGTAATTAAGTCTGCAACTTTGTGAATTGGAGCAGGGGAATTGGCTGGTGGTAATGGGTGAGAAGGGAGTTGCATGGGGAGCTGGGAGGTTGGTTTGGTTGTGTTGTGTTGTGTTACAGATTTTTGTTGGCTAGTGATAGCAAGTGAGGGAGTAGGCGAAGTAAGGTGTAGGATAGGTGGTTGTGTGGTGAAGGATAAGAGGTGGGCAACAGTTTTGGTGTGTGAGCATGTGACGGAGTTCAACTTTTCTTGTTAGAACATTTGACCTCGGACTTTTGAATATGACTTTTATTATAACCAAACCCTCGTCCCGAACGTTCCTACAAATAAAACCAAACACTAGGGTAGAATCGGAAATAAAATAAAATGCCAAACTAAATAAATAAGAAAAAGAGAGAAGCTAGAAATTATTAACCAAACTACGAAAATAAACTAAATACTATTAAAAACTAAAAAAATACTCAAAATAAAGAGCAAATAAGGAAAATAAGAAAATGAGATAAATAAAGCCTAAAACTAGGAAAATTATTAGAAACTAAACCGAAAAATAAGCATAAAAATACCCTAAAAGTGACATAAAAGGCACTTATCAAACTCTCCCAAGCTAAACTTTTGCTCGTCCTCGAGCAAATTAACACAAAACACAAGATAAGGAGAATGATTTATTCAAGCAAGCAAGAAAAAATAAAAAGAGAAAGAATATACACTAACTCACTTTCGTAGGAATCACGATTAATTTTTAGCAACTAAAGACAAGCCCTTTAAATTACTAGATCGCCCTAGAGGACGAGTGTGCTCTCGTGAGGGTTTCCTAAGAGCTTAACCCACAAATCTAGACAAAAACCAAGGCAAAATAAAAATAAAAATAAAAGCAAACACAAAAAGCAAACACAACCACGACCAACATAACATGATAAGGTTTAAGAAAACCAATCAAGCTCTAAGGCGGAAAATGCTCCATTTGGACTCAACGAAGGGTCATGCGCCAAAGAGTACACACCTTTCTCAATTAAACGAGGGAATACACATTCCAAGATGCTCATGGTTGAAAGAGACAAACCTAAGCTAAGCATAGAGAACTAGTAATTTCATTCTCCACCCTAGTCCCATCCAAAAAGGTTCACGTTCTCTCCACTAGCTTCAAATCACCCCCTAATTAGCTCCTTATGATTCCTTAAAGGAACTGGAAAAACAAATATTTATGTGGATCCATAAGGTCATCCCGAAATCTCAACTATGCATACTTTCTCCATAGGGTCGAAATCTATCTCCCTCCACCGGTCTTTGAACTCACCCCTCTAAAGTCAAAGGGTCTTTTTTAGGGTTGTAGTGTAAGGCTAAGGGTCAAGGCGGGGCAAAAATTTGAAAATTTTGGTGAAATTTCCTAAGTGAAGCAAAAGAAAGGCCCTCTCTCAAAAACAAACTCAATAAGTCACCGAACATCAAACAAAAATACCAATATTGCCATCTCCC